ACCATGCAACCAGCAACAGCAGAATACATATTTTCAAGAACATGTGGTATGTTGACCAAGAAAGACCATATTTTGGGCCGTAAAATCAAGATCAAAACAAGCACAAAAACCACTATAAACTGCTACATTTCACAGCCTTTCCTAAAAAAACAAAACAAAAGCTTTTTGGGAAAGTGAAAGCAACTCTTCTTTCCCCATAGCAGGTGACAGGCGGTGCTCGCTTCAATTACAGGTGCTCAGCCAATGCCCAGACAACGCTGAACAAATGGATAAACTTGGTCACCTCGTTCAGGTTGTATGAACAGCCGCAGGAACCCCAAATCCTATATAGTAAAAGGCTAATATGCAAATCGACCGAACAGCAAAATGACTGGTTGCTATTACGCATGCTGACCACCAGGGGGAAGATGCTCAATGCAGGAGCTGCCCTCTGGTGGTCAGTATACTCCCACAGGGGGTGCGCCGCTCAGCCAGAAGTCGGGCTCACGGCTGGCGAGTGCAGTGGCGGTGGTGGGAGCCTCTCCTGCCTCTGCGGCGGTGCTAAGGATGTCTGACTGCTGGTTTAGGCCCACTTGCCATGGGGGGCGGGCCTAAGCCATCAGTCGGACACCCCCCAAGGGCTCCTGGACTGCGAGAGGCTGCAGGCCGGACTGAGGGACCCCCCCCCACCCCCCCGAATGTACAAATTTCGTGCGCTGGGCCTCTAGTTAAAGATAATTGAGAATGAAAGTATTCAAGTATTCGACAGTTTTTTGAAAAAGTGGGATTTGTTTAAATCTACATTTACAAATTTAATTCTGATTGTTCAAATACTTCATTCTATTATTATTATTAGGTTGCTTCTTTTTTGAAACCATTTTTTCTCTTATTTCTGTTAATCTGATTTTAAGTCTGGAACACTGACATCCCCAAGGAAAAGAGAAAACTTAGACACAATTTCCATAGCAACTCTAAATCCTTCACACTGTATTTGTATATGGGAGTTTGATTTAAATACATTAATATATGTGAATTTGCAATGTGTCTAAGCTGTGGTTGCTATAGGAACCGCACCCTCAAATTTCCTTTGAAGTGTAGTAAGTGCTCACACATAAAAGCTGGTCCCCCGACGGCTATCTCAAGTTGCAGATATGGCTCACAGCAATGCATTTGCAAACATCACGACTCATGACGATATATGCACTGGGCAGATGTCTATCACAATGAAAATGTGTATTTTAATACATGCTCCTGTGAGTAGACCAAAAGCGATTCAAGATGCAATTCCTCCACACGTAGACCGAATAAGACTTGCCAGGCAGCTGTCCACTCCTACACGACAGCCTCCGCTCACGCCAAAGCCTGTACAGCCCAGGTCAGTCACCCGGCCACACACAGACACCACGGGCTCCATGGCTTCTCCGAACCCGCAGAACATCGCGTGTCTGTACTGAGATGGCGGAGAAATCGAGCTCGTGCTCACAACACAGAATGCACCACCTGGGTGGAGTGCAGCCACTTTAGACACACGAAACACTCTGTATCAGCCGTCTGTACGATGTAAGAAACATTTCTGGCCAATGCAGACAGTCCTTTCTGAATTACCAACACGCGGTCACCGTTCCCGGATCGCGTCCCGCACTCACACAGTCCCTCTGCCACAAGGTGCTTGGAGCCTCCGCTTACTGCTCCTAACACGTCAGTGTCAGGACATGCGAGTCAATTCTAATCCAAGGAAATATTTGGGGAGAGATACACCCACTGCAGAAAGAACCAAGTATCCCAAAGCCCAGATGGAAAAAGTAGTTAAGAGGGTCGCATCCCCTGTGTTCGGTTATACCAACCACTGTTCCCACCTATTGCAGATAATCACGAAACGACAGAGAGGCGGAACAGGGATCGCTGCTGGCTGCTCCCGCCGGGCGTCATGTGCGATAACAGGGACGGGTGTGCGTTTCCCTGCAGCGGGCCCCCACCCTCAGCAAACACCTCCCTGTGTCTTCCCTTTGGGGTGGACACAATCGGACTTGTCTGTGAGGAAAACGGCCTTGAATGATTTCAGTCCAGAGGCAGGGAGGCCAGTTAGAGAGTAGAGTAGTTCGGGGGGAGATGATTGTAAACAGAAAATTAAAGAGAACCTTCGGACGTGGAAGGGATTCAGCGCCTGCTGGTGTCACACAGACCCGGGGGCTCCCGCGGTGCCTGGCCCTGTGTGGTTCTGCATAACGATCGCAGCTTCAGGCTGGCGAGCAAGGGTTCCTGGCTCTTCTCTGACTATTGCTTGTCCTTCTATTGACATTCGTGTGCTCCCTGCCCCGGAAGCTCAGTGCCGGGAAGCCACGTCCTGCACCCGTTATAATTACGTCTAAATCAAGGAAGAGCAGACAGACTCTGGGTAAACTCTCGTGCGTGAAGAGTAACGTCCATGGATTTACAGTTTACAGCCCTATTCTGACTCTCCGAGACCCTGCGGCCTACATTTCTGTGACCGTCTCCCAAGAGCTGGCCATCGCCTTCAGAAAGGAGCTCCTCCTGCCTCCTGCGGCTCCAGCAGCTTTAACGACGTCCGGCATGTGGTGTGCACCTCGCCGTCATCGCTCTCCTGCCCACAATGTCCGAGTCACAACGCGTTTTATCAAGAAGGGTCTGACGGATTTGGCTTCGGAAAACACCCTTTCTCCCCGATGAAGACCAATGAGGTGACCATGGCCAAGGAATCGGGCCCCGCCTCTAGGAATGGCTGCCTCCTGGAATGAACTACCAACAGTGTTCCCTGTTGACATCAGGAGTTCCTGAGCTTTACGCTCTGGAAGAAACATGTCTCCTTCAGGTTCACGGACATTCTCTCTCTCCAAGGGCACACGTTTCTCAGTGGCTTTTGTGAGAGACGGAGGAGGAGGGAGTTTCTAGAACACGAGGCCAGGGCAGCGTAAGGACAGCTCGGCCTGAGGGAGGGGGAGGGCGGGTGCCAGTTTAAGGAACGTCCTGGCTGCGGAAGACACACACTCAGGCCTGTCCGTCTCACGCCTCAAACCGTGGGAAAGCGGCGCCGAGTGTCGAGGTGAGCTGTGCATCCGGATGGACATCTGCACATCGGCAGCGACAGAGGCTTCCGTGAGAATCAGCGGCCCCTCTGGCTCC